AGAGCAGGTAAATGAATAGAGAAGAGAGCTGCATGCAGAAATCAATGTGAATTTCCATTCTAAATCAATATTCCTTCATGTTCCCAAGCAGCACTACTTGCCTACAAATAGGCTAAGAAATTATCTGCAATAAGCAGATGAAATCTCTAGGTAGCTAGCCTAGGGCACGCTGATGTACTGAAACCATAAAACTTATCCAGAAAAAGCATTTGGAACTAGACAGATGCAAAATGTTCAGGAAGGCTCTTCCAAAATTTGCATGAATTGACTCTGTCAGGCAACAAAGATAACTGAGTCACTAGCAAATTTACACCACTGACTCGGAATAAACAAATTACATTTTCGGGTAACTGATAAGCTATCAACTTGAAGAAACAGAAGTGCAAAAATGTATATACAAGGTTTAGCGCTTTCTTCTGGTTTCTTATCTCATCATATTAAGTGGGTGTTCCTCTGAGCTTAAGCCTGTATCTCAAACTCTACCAAAGGAACGTTATTTCTTAGCTTTCGTTGTTAAGTTCCCATGGAGGCCAAGAACCGATTGTTATGAGAAATAGAGTTTTCATCAGAGCCTGAACCTGTGTTGACAGCCCTCTTTGTGAAAAAAGATGATTACTGGCATAGCTGTTCTCCTCTCCCTCTGCTGCTGCCTTCCTGTTCAGAAGCAGCTGCAAATACATCAGTGCTACACGCTGCAAACCAAGCTTAGAAGACCACACTGCATGGAACCCCAACCAGGAAGGTCACAGCTCTTGAGGTGCTCCTTCAGCAGGGGCAAATTTTGAATTTTCATGAAAAGTTTCTTGCAATGAATATGATTTCTATGAAATAACTGGCTGTTGGCAGGGTTGGCGCAGCTCCGAAGGTAGTTCTGGGCCTTTGTTCTGTAGCATCAAATAGGGCCTGTAATGTTACAGCAAACAAATTTAAGAGTTGAGATAGGAACGAGAGGAAATGGCCTCAAGTTACGCCAGGGGAGGTTCAGGCTGGATATTAGGAAAAATTTTTTCACTGAAAGGGTTATCAGACATTGGAATGGGCTGCCCAGGGAGGTGGTTGAGGCACCATCCCTGGAGGTGTTCAAAAGATGGGCTGATGTAGTGCTGGGAGGTCTGGTTTAGTGATGATGCTCCTTGTTTGTTGTGCGGGTGTCTATTTTTGTCAGTTAGGTTGACGGTTGGACAAGACGATCTTTAAGGTCCCTTCCAACCTAGAAGATTCTGTGATTCTGTGACATAGGAACCATCACATCAGACTGAAGATCTACCATACGTTAGCTAAATGCCATGTCACAAGGCTTACTGGAAACGGAGAAAACCGTAGGAGGTACTCAAGAAATGGTGAAGAACAGACCCATCCTGAATAGTGCAAGCATCAGAGGGAAAGCTGAGTTATGGAAGTCATGGAGAGAACTCAAGACTACTACCTGAGTTACTACGAGAAGATACAACATGGACTATCAAGAAGGGTAACCTGGAAACTAGTCCAGAGCCCCAGTGACAGGTACTGGGAAATCTTCTTAGGATGATGCTGAGTAAAGATTCTCCTATGGGAATTGTTCTGTGCACAGAAGTGAGAAGCAACAGCAGGTAATTGTTATTCATGGTGAGACACAGCCTTTCAGGACTGAAGTGGCTATTTTTCACTTTGTGCTAGTTTACCATTTTCCCAAACAGGCCTTTCTTTGGTGCTCCTGGGGACAGTTTCTGAACCTGAAGGTTGCAGCCAGCTTTTTGAAAGCCTTTAATCAATTAAAAAATAAAACAAAATAAAAATAGAGCTGCCAGAAATACCAGTGTTGCTATAGCAAGAACAGATTTTTAAAGGAGGGGAGGGAAATGCCACCACTCTAAAAACTTGAAGGAAAGAAATAAATCTATTTCTTCTGGCTTGCTGGAATTCCATGTTACTTACCCACCAATGGACTCATGTTTTTTCTCCCTGTCTTCGCAGTGACTTTGACTTTGATTATTCCTTGTGCATTCGTAAGTAATAATATGCCAACAGTCCACCACTTCAGTTTGAACACTACTTAATATACTGCCTGAAAAACTGCAGATGGGAAGCGTAATATTGGGGTGAGTGGCAATCATATAAAATTTTAACTACAGCAGCTGAAATGTGTGAGAAACAAACGTATTTATTTTTTCAATTCCATGTTATCATTGCACAGTGAGAGCTGCACAGCCTGTGAAATTTATCCTGTTTCAGTCAAAGGAAATGAGATTCTTCCCTTTGACTTCGAGGAGTGGATAGGGCCCTGAATTTGAAACAGCAAATCCGTTTTGAAAAGATGCCACGAGGCTTTTGTTTGTACAAACATATATATACATGTTGAAAAGACTGCTGTGCTCACATGCAGTAATGAAATTATGCAGAATTTGGACCATGGAAAAAAGTTTATATTTCATTAATGAGTCTGTTAGTGCCAATGCAGCTTAATTTTGTAGGAGGCAAATCATTTTAACTTGAATTTTCCTGTTTCAGGACAAGAGCAATGGAATGCCTCTGCTGTTCCAAATGTGCATTCGATAAGGATTGTCTGGCTCACAGCAAACACAGCTCACCAGGAATGCAAAAACCCACGTTTTGACTTTTTCAGCCATGGGTGCTTGCTTTTATACGTTGCACAAGGAGACAGAAACTGCAGTGAAGATGATTTTTTTTTTTCTTCTGGTGCTTTCCTCCATAAAGCATCATTAACTCTTTACAAATATATGGCCCATAATTCCAGTCCTGTGACTGCACGTTGTATTTCCTGTCTTAACTCAATTAATGCATTTATCCTTTCTAACTCTTGCTTGCACCCAAGTAGAAATGTGAGGACACTGAGCATACCTGGCAGGACAGAATCATCTGCCACCACCAGGCAGGACTGCAATGTGAAAAGTCCCAGCAGAGAGAAGGTATCTACTGTCCTCCTCCACCTGAGAGATCCTGGGTGTAATACCAGCTTTGTCATGGCTTAGAAAAAGCTGAGAAAAGGAAAGGAATTTTCTTTTTGTTGACCATTTTTTTTTCAATCTGCATTCTCTTTTTGTTGTGAAGTTTTCCTTGCAAATAGTGGGTATAAATTCATCTCTTTTTCAAGTGCATTCCTGCCAAAAGGGCCCACCCCATCTTTTAATTCTGCACCAAAAATTCTGCACTGACAGGCGCTGGGGATGTGCAATGCCCAGTCTCCAGAGCACAGAGCCAGCAGGTATCACCTCACCCTCAAAACCAAGATAAGGCGAAGGGAACAGAGGTGGGTTGGGAAATGGCCAGGGAAGGAGATTCAGAAGGACAGGAGGAGCAAGGGACACGATTAGAGGGAAGCTCCCTTATTCCCAGTTTATCATTCTCCTAAGAATCTCTTACAGCAACAGTGCTAATATTGCCTGTTTAAAACCTGCATGAATATGATAGGTAAGAATTATACTGACGTCATGGTCAGATAATAACTGGGTTAAATGAGCTCTGCAGGAGGATTTAGTGCACTGGTGCCTTGGAGAACTTGAGGGTTAGAGCACACTGCCGTGCCCAAAGCCACCACGCAGAGCTCCGCAAAGCGGGTATTTCACATCCTTGAATGATGGTAATTTTGACAGCCAGGAGACCACTGATCAGTGTCAGGTTTTTATTTCCTGACAGGCACAATGTCACTGCTCTCCAGACTCTGAGGAACATCATCTATCTAGTGGCAGCATCCTGAACTCCTTCTAACATGGCCATCAACCTGCATCTGTGTGTGAGCAGAGGGGACCCAGCCAGCGAGTGTTCTGCCACTCCACACAGAACACTGTGGGTTTTCTTTGCACCTTCTTATTTTCACCTCATGCAGGTTCCTAGACATTTGTGGGTTTTCCTTGCTTCCTTTACGAAACAGATGCAGTTTGGCAGTATCTGGCCGCAGGCAGCCTTGCCAAGTCCCCAGAAGCTTGTCTCTTACATCTGGTCACACTTCAAAGATGGTGGGGTTTCTTTTTTGTGTATCTGAAGTTCATTCCTAAATAGACTCACTCCCTTGGACTCCACATCTAGTCTGTGTATCACCTGTGCTAATGAACAAGGGATCTCTGGATGTCTCTCAAGGTGTTTTAAGACCACCGCAGTATAGTTTACAAAGAGTACAACTGATTAAATCTACTATCTAAAATAAAAAAAAGGCATTTTTTTCCTAAATCTCGTTTTGCAGATTTTCTAATATGCTGGGGTTTTCTATTACGTGTGACCTAAAAGAACCACTGTTAGCACATTACTGCATTCCTCCTTGCTGGAAGCCAGGGCCAAATTAACAGGCCAATCCAGAGTTTCCAAATTTTGACTCTACCAGAAGAAAGGATGAGTGGGAAGACAGCATCTTAAACGCTCAGAAGGAGGAGTGAAAATTGTATCACAGCACGCTGTTCACTGCTAATAAGCTTCCACCACTTTGTTTATATATATTTTCAATTATAGCACTAGTTATCTCCATTCAGGTAAAATTCCCCAGGGAGACTGATGGGATTTGATAGAAAAGAAATTAACCTGGAATTACAGGGTATAATGCTCATAATCCGTCTTTTGGCATGGAGTTGAGCTGGGAAGTTAAGGGTAAGCCTTTGACCAGATGTCTGCTGTTCTCCCCCTAGATCCTCACAGTAAGCCTCCAGCTTAGACAGAGGAAAGTACCAAGATGCTGCTGTACTGGAGCCATCGCTATTTCGTCAGTGTAGTGGATAATACGCAGCTTACAGGGCTCTCAAGACTCCAAAGAAGGAGTTTGTGAGGACAAAGAGGAGGGGATGCAATTTGGAAAATGAAAGGAAAACACATACTGGGAAAGGAACAGATGCGATTTAGTCAGGACACAGAGCAGGGTGGACAAAGCAAACACAAACCCAGGACAAATACTGCCTTCAGAAAGAATAAGCAAAGCCATTTTCTTTATTTTGCCATTTTTTGTATCTTTATTTAATTTCAAATTCTCTGTTAGTGTTTCTTTCTTGAAGACTTGGTAAATTGCATTAAAAGATTATGCATTTTAGTTTTGTACTAAAGGAATAAATTCTGACACAAAAACTCTTACTCAAAATGGATTTTTTTCTCTCATCTTGTTTCCCAAGGCATCTTTGAGATGGTTATCAATAAATGACAATAACTGGCTAAACAGTCTGTTACCTACTTTTCATCAGTTGGTGAAAAATCTGCACAAACTACATACGGCCATGGCAGCAGAAGAAAATACCACATGTTTCACTCAGACACATACTGCTAAATGTAGATTTTACAGAAATCTTGGTTTCTAAGTTCATAGGACTCATTTCCACTGCTTCTCAGTGGCTCTTTCTCATCTCCCATGTCACAGTCTTTCATCTGTGCAAAATAGGCAGGAGAAGCTTTGCATTCATAGTGCCTGTCAAGAGATTTCAGGTGGATCAACATATGAAGAGCATAGGCAAGAACCAGCAGCAGAATCAGTGACATAACCAATCCCATAAGTATTGCTGGAGAGAAAAAGGACTCACAGTCTTTTGCATAGGCAAAGTGTCCTTCTTGAATGTTAAAACCTTGAATCTACAAGAGAAAAAAAACGGCTTATATTAAATAAAGTACTTGTGTCTCAGTTGTAAACAACTTCATGAATTTGTGCCTGATGGCAGTAAGAATTTTTAATGTAATCCTACATATTTCAAAATTGTATGTATCAGTGCTAGATGGAGTTAATGCTCAGAGGTTATCCAGGTCAGCCTTCCAGAAACCGCCAGCTATTCTAATCCCCTGCACTCTGCTGCACAAAGGATTTGCAGTTGTGTTTTAAACAAAATCTTCTGTGATCACTCTTGATAGCCCAGTAATATTTAATTGTAAGCATGGTACCTTTCAAGTTAACAAAGCACTTCCAGCATCACTTGTTGAGAATCTCGAGTCTTGGTTTCAAACTGCATAAACTTCAACATGACAAATAATGAAATATTCTTAATTCCCTACCGTAATAGATTTTTCTCACCAGATCCAAGTGTGAGGTATTCAGTAGCAAATGAGCTAAATTACACAAAGTTACATTAAACTGTGGCCAATACCAGTAGGTTTCACTTGTGGCTTCAGTTCTAACATGAAGTTTACCACATTGGCATTCAGGGAACTGACTGCTGCCTGCTCCACTAAATCAGTCCATGGGCATTTATCACATGGTGAGAAAAGGGATCAGCTTTCCCCCTCAAATCCCCCTTTTCAGCTATTCATGCTCTGTGACTTAGGTATCTAAAAGCAAGATGTCCTAGCCCATCCTAGTTATCTTAGGCTCCCTTATTGTCATATGCAGAGAAATAGGGACTTTCAGAAGATGATTAATCTCATCCTAAAATAAGGACTTAAGATGAGTTAGAGGAATTATCCACTAGATTTAGAGGTAGGCTGGGGTGACTATGATCAGGGCACGAGGTTAAAATTACTAGGCACCAAAGGTTAAGTGAGATGAATCTCATACTTGGTGACTGATGCTGTTATTGATGCCGGGTTTAAGAGCGCAGCTCAGAGAGATGTAACACTGAAAGTTAAATTCACTCCCTACACTAAATGGAAACCCAACCAAGAGATTACACAAAATCTGTATAGGTCTTCATTTCCTTTGGCAGAAAGATAAGTATTATAATTTAAGTCTTCATTTCTTTTTCAAGTTCTATGGAGATCCTATAAACCATACACAGAAGGTCATTATACTTTCTCGGCAGTGAAGCGCAAAATTTCCCATCAGTCTACCCGAGGGGCCCACTTGGCATCATTCCATGACATTACCTGGAAATCAGTAAAAGTGACTTCCCAAAGCTTCGAAAGGTCATTTGCAGAGCTGGGTATGAGCAGGGCATCGTATCTCTGCAGGCTGCTCACGTGTTCACAGTGGTAGGAGTAACTCGAGGGCGCGTGTATCCGGGTTGCGTTAAACGTCGCCTGTATGGAGTGGTTGTAAAGAAGCTGCAGCCTGTGTAAGCTGAACCAGTTCTGCACAGACAGCTGGTAATAGCTGGTCGTTAATAAGAATCTGAAATTATTGTATGGGGAAAAAAAGATTAACAACAAAGCAAGTCTAACTAAGACCTGGAACTATTAAGTTCACACGTTGAGCAATCCTAGAAGGCACACCGGTATTACCAGTGTTTCACCCATTTATATCAGTGTGAGCTCCAGCTCTTTCCATTCAGTCTGGAAAATTATTTTAGTTTCTTCATTCCTGCAACTGAAAGAGTTTGCTGCTTTCCCACACACTGAGAGGGAAGGTGAGGGATTTTTCCTAAATGGCTGAGAAAAATTGGTACAGCGTTGATATTGTACTTCCATCAGAAGATAAAAAAAAATTATTTATCAAGAAATGCTGTTTTGCTTCACCAAGAAGCAAACACAAAGTAGGTCACACTATCAGCTCTTCCGGCAAAATTCCCAGACAAAAATGTAGCTAATTAGCAATATTTATTCAAAAACTCAGACACAGGAAGAGTCTATGCAAAAGAGATGACCTAAACTTTTCTCATTAATAGAAAAGTCAACACAGAAGAAGTGCCTCAATAAAACAAGGCAGGCAAATGACAGACCTATTATATGCAGGTGTCTTGATTATACAATAAACAGTTCTATCACATTATTTTTGCTTACACAAATTCTCCTAAGTCAAATTGCACAAAGAACTGCCTAACAATGGATATTAATATGTGATTATTTAGTATTTTCTTTATCATATAAACTTACCTAATAACAAGTCCCTTTAGATTGCCAACGTCACCAAACTTCAGAGAAAGCCTAGGTCAAAAAGCAAGTAATGTCAGGCTAGATTAAAACTTCAGAAATCTTAAGAGAAAATAGCAGCTCAAAAGATTAAGCATAGTTATACATGGAGCCTCTTGCTCAGTATACCTCAGGGGGAAAAAAACCTGAAAGGATTAAATCTTTTTCCAGTGAAATCCAGTAATTCACCTGTTAACTCAAACAAGGCCTAGACTACCCAGAAAGAACAGAACTGCATGTTTAACTTTCAACACAGTTCAATCCCACTGCTTCCAAAATCGATTGACAATTAAGTTCATTGGATCTGTTCTCCTTCTCAAGCCATATCTTAGTCATGTATCATTTCTGTGTGTCATTAGAAGGTGTAAAGAGCCACATTATTCTCACCTTTTTAAATACTGGAGTATAAAAAGTGCAGATGACATTTGAGTTCAAATTTCGCATGTGCATCATTAGAGCAATATATATACACTGACTTTGAGGTAGCTCTACAAAGTTCATCTGTGGGGAGCATGGGCACTGAAGTTTACTAAACTGACAGGACCTAGCAGGTTAATTGTAAACTAATGCATACTGTACCATCCTTCCACTATCTCTGTGATTAATGCATTGTAGCACTGCATTATTAAGTGGCATACATTCTTTTTTGGCTTAAGAATAATATTTTGCCTCTTAAAACCTGCATAATAGATTGTCACTGTTGACACAACCTTTTCAGACTAAGTTAGAGACAAACCATAGTGAAAACATGCAGCATCTTGAAGACTTCCAAACTTAAAGCTAGGCCTATGATTTCATAGCAGATCTTCTTGTACCTTGACTAACACTGGTCTGAAAAGCCAGGACACTGAATCTAGACGATCCCTTGCTTTATTACAAAGGGAAATCATAGACAGTTGAGTATTAGACACAGGCAAATGTGGTGTTCAACTCACTGGTGCCCGCAGCTCGGATTATTATATTCATATGGCAAATGCACAAGTGTTCAGTGTCAAACATTTTTTTCCTGGCTCCAGTGACTTTGCATTGATTACAGAGTATAAACCAGCTTGAAAGCTGGCCTAAAGCCAGAGCAGAGTATTTGTCTTAACAAAGAAGGATAGAGAAGGGAAAAGTTTAAGGGACTTTTCTGGGGTGAGAAAAACTTGATAATGCATTGTGTGAGCACCCAGCCATCAACTGGCATAATACAGGTCAGCCCTTAAACCTGAGACTACAAAGCACCATTCAAGCCAGTTTTTCCCTTTTTTCTCTGCTACAGTCACATCCCAATTGAGTGAAAATCTACCCAAGACTCATATTTGGCAATTACGCTGAATCTAATCCTGACTCATGAGCCCAGATTATCCAATTTTCCCATCTCCGGAGCATGATCTCTACATATAGGGACTTCAGTCAGTACTTGGATGCTGTCAGTGGAAATGAAAGAATGGATCCTTGAAACGTACAGTTTCTAATGAGCTGATACATGGAATTTAGCAGAGATGCCACAGATCTGTCAAACGTCCTGAGAAATCCCTTCCAGCGAGAGCTCCCTTCTTGGTTATGATTTTGGAGCACAGTGGGAAGGGGTAAATCTTAAGGTCTCCCAAATAAGCAAAGTATAAACATGCAAGAAAGTAAAACCACTGGGGAGGAGTAGCATTTTCCTCTCTCTCTCCACGGAAAAAATGACAAATGCTCAGTCATCACAGTATGTCTCTTGACCCCAGTAAAACCACACCAGCCTCAGCTTCAAACTAAGCATCAAAGCCCTGCCTGCCTTTTGCAGTTTGAGGCTACTCAGAAAACTATGGGAGAAACAAAGAGAAAGATCAGAAGACATGGCAGATAAGAGGGCTCTGGACCCACAGATTTTGAGATCAAACCTCAAATACGGTGAAACTGATAAAAGGCATGTCAAGGGTATGCTGCAGAGTAGTTCTGCTTCCCGACTCTTTCTGTAGCTTTTTTAATGAAAAATGTGTTCTATAAATTCCCAAATATCTTCCAACACGATGCATCCAGCAGAATATACAGCCCTGTGGTGGGCTGACCCCAGCAACCAGCTAAAGACCCATGCAGCCACTCACTCGCTCTGTACACCCACAGCAGGACAGGGGAGAGAACAGAAACAACAAAAGAGAGAACGCTTATGGGACAGAGTTTAATAAGTGAAGTAAAGAGGGGAAAAAAAAAAGACCAAAGATTTGCAAGGGCAATCACAGATTGTCTCCCACAAGCAGCCTGATGCCCAGCAAATCTCAGCAATCTCGGAGGAAGACACAACCCCTACCTGCTTCTTCTTCCTCTACCCCAGCTTTTATTGCTGAGCATAACATTATATAGCAGGGAATAAATATAACTTTGGCCACCTCGGGTCACCTGTCCAGGTATTGTCCACTCCCAGCCCCTTGTCAACCTCAACCACTGCAGAGGTGTGGGCAGAGGGGCAAACAGAGAAAGCCTGGACTGCTCAAAATAAAATATTATTCCATTCTCTACGTCTGCCTTTCAAAACATAGTGCTGGATTAGTTCACATGCTGATGATGTAAAACTCAGACTGCTTTGTTAGATACTAAGATACCACAGGCAGAAAGCCTGGCTTCTTTTTCAATTATATTTTTAGTTTTCTTGTAATCTCACTCAGAAAACTCACTTTCTAACCTCACTTTCTGTGCACCTTGGGTTATCCTTCACAGATGTGTAATTTCTGTGGAAACAGAGGTACAGGTGAAATGTTGTACAGCAGCTAAATGAAACTGCTGGTTTGGTCATCTTATTTTTACTCTTGTGTGTCATTACAGATTTAAACTCCATTTATGGCGTAGACTCAATTCTCATGTTCAGCACATGCCCAGTTACGTATCCACCTCCTAATTTTTAGACTGTTGCCTACCAGAGTGGAATCAATGACATGGCACAAGACATGAAGCCACCCAGCATACTACATGCAGGCAGACAGAAGTGGTCAGGTACAATACAAAGGAAATCAGAAAGCCTACATGCCCTGCTAACATAGCCATGGGATTTGAGAATTTTGGATCCAGATAGGTTAACATATGGCTCACACTCAGAATTAGCAGAAGCAAAGCATTGTGTTCTTCATGCTGAAGAAATCCATGAAAGGCTAGGATGCAGAGTTCAGGTTTTCTGAGGCTCTTTAGGCCACATGCAAACCTGAAGTGATTTCCCTCTTTGGGAGGATCATATCATGGGACTCAGGGCTACCTAATTCTGTTTCTAAATACACATTTGCATCTTGTACCAATGGTTTACAGCATTGCTGGCACAGATCCTATGAAGGGATAAGCAGTCGTGCACAGCCAGCCCCTAAGTCCCCACATGCACCATAGGATCTGCTATTCAATCTCCCAAGCAGCTATGTAAAACAGCTGGAAACTACAGAGATCAACACATTCAGCCTCACAGGCACAAAGAGCAAAACTGGCTGGCCACAGGGACTGACTACACCACTGCAAGAGATGAAGACAGCTACGTACATCTATGTGCCCCGTGGAAGACTGGTCTGAAAGTATGATCTTACCCATTCTGGCCTGCTGCCTGCAACGTCAGGGCATTACAGGAAAGAGCTTGCCCCTGGGGGTCTGCACCACATAATACAAGGTCCGTTTCCTTCAGTATATATTTACTAGACGTGTTATCTGGTACTAGTTCCACTGGGAGAGTAGAATGCCACCTTACATTGCACTGTCTTCACTGCAGTTTGAATCTCCAACATCCACTGTTGCATGGACACCAAATGTCTTCTCCGTCAAATCCAGCTGCGTGTGGTTTTCAAACTTGATCATGATCCTCTTGGCCCAGAAGAGAATGCAGGGGATGCCATTAACGGTGACGTTGAGAGGGCTGTAGTGGCTGTGGGTGAACGGCCTCCAGGATGCTCTTTCCCACTGTCCTTTCCCGCTCAAGTTGTAGCCGACAACCTGATTAACCACATAAAAGATCAGCATCAGAAGACGTGTATTTCAGGAGTTATTCTCCATTCTACCAGAATAAACAAGGCCAGCACTTGGAGAAGATCTGTGGAGCCACTTCTCAGTCGCAGCAGCCCTGAACTGAGGAAGCAGAGAAATCTCCCTTCCCACCATGGGAATGGCACCACACAGACCTCCACCTCCAGCACAACTGGCCAAAAAGCCAATATATTTATTCTACTAGGACACTGTTACTGGGGCAAACCACATTCTTAGCATGCTTCTACCTCACCGTAGAGCTGCACAATATAAAAAACTGAAGCACAGCTAGTACTACAAGGTGCTCACCCCACCAGAATACTCTCTAGACACCTACCAGAATTACTTCAACACACTAAAGAGGGCTCAGCTTGCGCCAAGGAAACAGCTACCATGCTGAAAGCACACTAGGCGACTGTCCAGGTGAAAGAAATTCCAAGTCTACCTGCAGATGGTTTGGCTCCTGACAGCTTTAAAATCAGGAAAATGCCTGCTGCAGAACAGAATGGCTCAGGTATGGATCTCTGCCTTTACAAAATCAGTTGTTTGCAAGATCAAACCCTGAGGATTGCAGCTTCCACGTCATCTGTAGATATGTGAAAAATGCTACCACTTCTAAGAAAAATTTCATAGGAGAAGGAGGACAATTAGGCTGCCAGGCAATATTATTTAAGACAGTGAGTTAGGGCTCAGAAAGGACTTTAAAATTTGACTGTCATTTCAGTATTTCAAACTGAAATTTCCAGACAATAGCTCTTTTCCATCCACACGTATGTGCTATCTGAATATGATGACGTATACAATGTCTGCATGGCTGTTTTGTATGTCATGATTAAGTTCAAATTATGTAGAACCAAGAGAGGTATTCTGAGTCCCAGTCATAAACAGCATCTTACCAGGCTCCAGAAGGGAGGTGGTTAAGCCCCAAAGCTCTGTCTTGGCTTAAAGAGAGGTATTTTTTTTCTGTTCAGATTAGCGAATCACATCTCCCAGCTCAGACCCCGAAAGACCCCTTTTGATACTTGACCTTACATATGGCACAAGGCTGCTTTAGGATTAAAATTACTAAGTACTGACAGCAACAAGCTGAAAGCGAGGTAAGATCATGGTCAGAAAACGTGATGCAAGAATTTATACAAATGACAGTCATAGGCAACATTACTTGTATAAATGACAAGGCTGTCTTCTCAGAAGTACAGATGAGAATCAATAGATTATTTACTTAGATTGCATCATTTGCAGGGTTTTTGAAAAGGAAGCCTTTGAAAAGACCTACAGGCTGGACTCAGGAAAAACTCCCACTACATTTAAACAATCAGCAGTTTTGCTTCAGTAATTCTTTTAGTACTAAGGGATATAAGCAAAATACTTGCCGCAGCAGTCAAATGGCACTGTACAGAAATATGGATGATAGGATTTGGTTCTTTCAGTAAGAGCCTGTGCCCAAACCCATTCCCAGCCAGCACCAGTGGTGGCAACTGAGCTCTCACCTCACTTCTCAGAAAAGCAGAAGATATCTTGTACAACTGGTGGTGAATCAGTACCACGTCACAATTACTTAGACAGTTTTGTTGGCTATTTCTTGTACACAATGTATTATTTAATTCAATAATGCAAATTAAAAGATCTCAATGTGCTGTGAAAAAACTTCACAGATCCAGTTCATTCAGACATTACCTGTGTAATTGCTACATGATTTACATTAAATTTTGGCTTCACACCACCGTCATAACGTCGACCTGCAGAAGAAAGTGTGTTATTAGCCTACACAGAAAACTTCCAATAATTTCTAAAAGCATTATCTCACATGTTCTAACGTAAACAATCATTATCCCTGCATAACATGTGCATTTCAGAACACCAGATTTTGTTTTGGAAAATATTTGGCTTGGTGCAAGTATTGCCTTCAAATACATGCATTTTCTACTTTACCTTACTCATACAATGAGGTTCCTCTTCTTTTCACTGAACACCTCACCACCCTTACTAGGAAGAACTCCAGTGACCCAAAATGACAGGATTCAGCCTATACATGTATTTATTCAGCCCAAACACACTTAACAAAAACTCTGTTGTCAAAGGGGCTGTGCTGAATTGCATGGCAAAAGTGCGTAGCTATGTGTGGGAATTTCTTTCCCTGCATTGGCCAGAGATGGGAAGCTGTGACAAAGAACCTGATGGCCTGAATGCTTGCCAGGAGAGTGAAGCTTCACAGATGACAGATCATTTCATGGACACTCACCGCTTCATCCTTCAAACATTTAACTCTGTTTTCATTCAGTTTAAAAAAAAAAAACAAACGACTGAATACTTCTTTCTTCCACGCTCTCACTGTATCTCAGAGTCAGTCAGTAAATTATTATTTTAACCAGGCAAATCCTCTACAGGGTATTTTTTGAAGAGGGACATGCTTTAACAACACATTTGACAGAAGAACCACTAATGCCAAGAGAAGCAGCATCTGGAATGAAGACCTTTTACAGCCGCACTAACAAAGCCAGTATCCAGCCATTCAGCCCACTGAAAAGAAAAAAAAAAAAAAAAGCCTTACCATTTCTTTGTAGAGAATCTTGATCTGAAAATGTACGTGAACTAGAAAAGAGAAGAAAAATATTTACTGTACAGCACGTGGACTTGAAGTCTTCAGCAAGTTTGCTGGAGAGAGCTCCTGCACCTTTTTCATTCAATAAATCATTCAAAACGATCCTCGGCTGGCTAATGTCACAAGGGACAGGGCAAATTAATCCCAAGGTTGGTGTACCCAGGCTAAAAATGCCTCCTCTTCAGAGATCCCCCAGGTGGATCAGCCCCAGTAGGCATTCCCACGACCTTACCATATTGACTAAAGTCTTCATTATCCGTCTTGTCCCTTTCCACGGGACACCAGTTCTGGTGTCCCACCAGCTCTGGGTTAGTGACTGAACCAGTTCCAGCCCACTGGCAGGGTTAACACAAGCACAGCATTGCATCATCCTCAGCCCCCAGTGAGGATCAGAAGCAACACACGGAATTCCTCTGGGATAGAGCAAATGCACGGGACTAGTATGCCTTAAGCCCAGATGTACAGCCATCCAAAGACAGCTCCTGAATGGTTCCAAGCTATCCCAAATCCCATGGAAGTTAGCTGCAAGGTAGAGAGCAAGTGAAGCGCATCTCAAGTAACAACTACCAGGCTTGTGAAATTTTCAGCCTTTGATTTTCTTCTTTAACTCCGGGATAAGACTTCAGCATGTGTAAGTATGAACTGCTTTCCTGAAACAGAGAATCAAGCCCAGCAGATTCACGTACACTCACTTACCAAAAAAGGTCAGACAAAGTCCAAGAAACAAAACTCTCCCTTAGAACCAGACTCCACTCCTTGAGTCACAGGAACACCTTCCTGCCCCCTCCACTCCACAGCAGCTTCCCTGGCACCTGCAGCCCTCTACAGTGGATTGATGTATGGATCTGATGACACATGTCTGCTTCCCAAGCCTGCTGTCAGCATTCCCTGGTGAACACACCAGCGCTCCTGCACTCACAGATGAGTATGGTCCCACACAGACCCTGTACACCCTGCCCTTCTTCTGCCCACACAGCAGCTTCCAGGCCATAAGAGACTCCCTGGGGAGGGGGATCTATGTTACCCACCAGAACGTATTGCAGGAGTGATCTCAGCCTAATTTCCATCGCAGCATCCTTAATGGCAGATAAATATGAGTCCAAACAAGATAACACCACAAGAAACACGGGATGGCTTAGAGCCTGCCCTGCTTGCCACCATGCCCTTGCAGCTCTGGCAGGCAGGGAGTCTGATCACACCAAACCTGGCTTGCCTGAAACCCAAGGCAGTGTTACCTGCTTCAGCAAAGCCCAGGTTTCACACCCAATGTCTTTACACTCAAGGTTCAGGAGGTCAGGCTTATTTCTTCTGACCAGTGCCTCTCCAGCGAGAATGTCCTTTTTGCAGGCACACTCACTGCTGCCACAAATAGATCTCATGTCCCCTTGCAAACTCCTCAAACCCAGAAGGCAAAAGAGACAAAAGTGAAGCGGAGTCTGTATTCCAGCTTGTCACTTTGCTGCCAAACACCCAGACTGACGAGCAGCTTTGCTCCAGACCATGAGGAAGGCTGCTCGGTCCCTTCAGCAGCCAGGGCAGCACAGCAGAAGACAGTCTCCAGAGAAAACGTAACACAGCATGAAAAGACAGCCAGGCTCTGCAGCACCACAGCAGTGACTGTGAGCCGAGCTGAAGGAACCTTAAAAACATCTTACATTCAAAAAAAGTTCAGTGTAGGTAACATGGATTCAAATCAATCTGGCAGTTTTAATTACATATAGGGAGACCACCCCTCTCCTCAATTGGGGCTGTGAAATCCCAGGGACTTCAGGGAGACTGTGGGCTTTCAGAGTGGGTCCTGCTCTCCCCCACTGCACTTTCTGAGCTGGGGCTAGTGCTGAGCTGAGGTCTCTAAGCCACTCGCTCATTCCAACAGCAAGCAGCCTTCAGAGAACGGCAGAAATAATCCTCATTTTGTCAGACAGGTAACAAAATACATGGCTAAAATGGGCCAAACCTTGTTTTCTTGCTCAGGTAAAATTCTCTCTTGGGTTGTTTAATGATTAGGAACATGGGTATTGTTATTTGATGCAGCCTTATTTTTCTTTTCTCGTTTTCCTTCATGACAGATTGTGCCTTCAGGCTGGAAAAGGCAATTTGGGGGCATTTTTTTCATTATAATAGCTACAAAAATGAGGGACACCAAAAGGAAATCAATGTAAATTGTTTAGTTACACTAACTGTAGTTGTATTTAGTCGTACCTATATATATTCAGCTATACTTTTAGCTCCTCCCTATATACACAATTAAAAGCTCAAAGCTCCAGTTTGGAAATTGCCATGCTGAAGTGTGCAGACTAGAACATTGGGCTGACAGGACACTGGTGTAGATTTGTGTAATTCATTTCACTCCCTCACTGGACGTGAAAGGTTTTTATGTTGCTCTGTGAAGAGG